TTGAACAATGAGATCACTTGGACACAGGAAGGGGAACATCACACACTGGGGCCTATTGTGGGGAGGGAGAAGAGGGGAGGGGGGAGGGTTAGCATTAGGAGATATACCTAATGTGGATGATGAGTTAATGGGTGCAGCACACCAACATGGCACATGTATACATATGTAATAAGCCTGCACGTTGTGCACAGGTACCCTGGACCTTAAAGTATAATTTTTAAAAAGTGAAAAAAAAATAGTATAAAGAAAGCTTAATCAAACTAGTAATTGAGAAAAGTTTATTAAATATTATTGATGCATTATATGCAGAGAAAATATACTTTCGATGAGGAGAGTTTTTGTTTTGTTTTTCCTTGTTTTAGATTTTTGATGGAAGGTCAAACAATTCAAACTCAGTTTTGCCTTTTGCTGTGAATAGTGTTAGACTAAGTTTACTTTGTGTCAGTGTTGGTAGTCTTCTTGGAGAGGGTTAACGTGCCTTTTGCAGGACATCTCTTGAGGGGAGGAATAGAATGGAAGGATGCCATAGTCTCTTTCTCCTTTAGTCTGCCCTGTAAAATGCAAAGGCAGCTCATGAAAATTCTGATAATTTTTACTGAAATGCAAGTGCATTATTTCTTAGAAAATAAATATTTTTAGATTAAATGACTGAAATTTAAATTTAGTAATGATGGAAAGTAATCTATAATCTATAATAGTAATCTATTTCCATCTATATGTAAGATGGAAATCAGAGATATTTAATTTATGTTTTAGAACTTTTGTGTTAAATATTGTATTGTTCTACTTTATCGATGGTGAAATTGTCTTTATTTAATCTTCCCAGGAAATTGTGGCTGCAGAGAAAAAGAAACAGATTGTGGCAGAGCAAGTCATGATAGACCACTTATCTAGGTGAGAATTAGCAACTCACAATAGAAATCAATTCAGAAAATTTTCATTAAATTTCTTTTCACGCATGACACTCATATCCTTGGTCAATTAAAGGTTAGCTAACTCAGAGGTTCCCAAACTTTCTTTGTTCACTGCACTGTTAGTGTTTTAGTAATTTTTTCACAGCACTCTTAGACCAATAGAAATACCTAACAGTTCTATTTGTTAAGTATTTTTCTCTAAACAACTTAATAAGTATTTATTTGCTAACAACTAATGACCATTTAAAAAATAATACACATAAATTGAAAGAAGATATCCTTACTTTATTCTTACCAAGGATCTGTATGCATCTTATGGGCACTGCACAGTCTCTCAAATCCTAGAATCATTTACAATGCTGCCACTTCCACTTTATATTCCATATTGATTTTCACCTGATATTTGCTTTTTATCATAGCAACTATAGAAAACTCAGCTCTGCAAAGATGTAACATCGTGGAAGCAGTATAGTGTGCTGTCTTGTTGAAGCTGTGAGCTACCCTGAGGTTGAACTGGTAGTTTACCTGGTGTGTAAGTGATGTCAAGTATCACTGAGTTTCCCTCAAAAATTAAAAATATTCCATAGTACCCCTGTGAGTTCACCGTGTTACCTCAGGGTTCCTTGGTGCAGTTCGAGAACTGTGAGACTGTTAAGAATTTTAAAACTCGTTAGAAAACTAAAATTTTAACATTTGCATTGCTGAATTGCATGATAATATGGAAATATGGTAGAATTTCTGAAGAGGTTGGAATTATCTACTTCAAGTAAAAAGTAAGACTTAGCTTTGAAAAAACTGTTTAGTTACGTGGCAGAAGGAATGAATGACAGAAAGAATGATGCATGTTTCTACATGCACGTTTTTCAGTGAATTCTTTGAAATACCTAGAGTCTCCCTTGTCCCTCCTTCCATTGTCTCATGAACTTAAGTGTTTTCACCTCCACCATGCCTCCAACAACTTTTTTCCAGAAGTAGTGAGATCCATATTGCTAGACTAACAGTTTCTCAGTTCTCATTTACTTGGCCCATCTGCAGCAGCTGTCTCATTTGAAACTTTATTTTCTTTGAGGCAGGTTTTTTTTTTTAATTCTACAGGAAATGGGGCAACATCTAAAATTTTTTTTTTT